CGCCGGGAGTAGCTTATATGTTTTAAATTCATATTCTGATCCATATCTTATATGATCTTTCTTTTAAATACGCTCAAGAGTAGTAAATTCTATTTGTTCTCATTAGTTCGATCGTCGAACTAGTGAGATATTTTTTTTCATTAGTTCGACGGCCGAACTCGTGAGAATTAAAAATGTCTTACTAGTTCTACTGCATTCAATTCGGAATGAATCATAATAGCAGCTGGACTATTGTTTTATGGGAACCCTACCCCGACTAGCTGTAGTAAGCTAGATGTTTAATTTGTATACCTATTTTGAAGGCCAAGAGTTCAATCTTCATTAACTATGTAATGACTTTTACGATAAATACAATAGAGGCATAAAGATGTTGAAAGTGAAGGAACGTTCAATGTCACTGCATGCGTCAGCTGCGTGTGCGAGCACTAGATCGGAAGGCACGCAGCTGAGCGCTCGCAAAACTACTGATAATTACACTATCAGTAGTTTGGAGAACATTAATGATAATGTATTTACTAATAATAGTCATATAGTGTTCTATTTAATAATCTGACGAAAATGTGTTATACCTACCTCTTTTTCAACAAAAATGACATCAAATCATATTTGGAATACTTACTTAACGTTTATATGTAGAAAAATAAAACAAAAATAAATTTACTATAATTATGCAAAATGTGCTATTAAGTAAAAAAAAATAGTTGATAACCGCTAAATACTATATGGGTCTGGTATATATATTGATCTATCGTGCCGCTTCGCTCGCATGCTTTTTTTTTCGTATTTCTAATTTTTAAAATGAGGAACTTTCATACAACCTTTCGTCCCTTATTTTACCCTCCTGTAGTGAAATTGCCAAAAATCCTTTCTAAGTCAATGCTTACAACATAAAAAGCATCAGCATCAGTTGATGCATGTTTTTAAACATTAAAAACGGTCAAAATTAGAGCACTAGGCCATCACTATTTCACTTAAATTAGCAGCGAGTATGATGTCTATGTTTTGGAGTCTTTACAAAAATTAATGTAAAAAGTATAGTAGGCCATAACATTTTTTCTAAGAAGAGGCCGATGTCCAGCAATTGACAATGAATTTAAAAAGCAACCTATAATTGCAGAGCGGCCCTGGTCCGCTCGATAGTCCCTTAAAGTAAAACCCTTCCGACTTGTACTGAAAAGATTAACTTACAGAAACAAATATCATTTATAAAGAACCAACCAAGCATAGATTTAGTATGTTCCGAGAAAGAACGTCTCTCAACGCAGATAATTATACGTCTTAAGTTATCATCATCATCCACAGCCTTTACTAGTCCTCTGCTGGTCATAGGCCTCTCCATAGAAAGGAGGCTTTGGCCTACTACACCACGCTGGTCTGGCCAGCGTGGTGTAGTAGGCCGTGGGTTCGTATTGGGTTTCTTTTAAGTTTTCCTTCTTTTTGAAGTGCTGTGTTATCCTGCGTAGTTTGCTCCCTTAGCTTCGGCTCTTACGACCCCCACGGGATGACTAGGGGTGGTGACACTATATATTCTTAATCCGTCATCACACGGAATCTTAAATAATACCCTGTGTATTAGATATATTAGATATGTGTCTTGGCTTCTTAAGTTCTAGTGAGCCACCTAAATTAGCATTTATTTGCAGGTGTTTATGTAAAAAAAAAACTGCATATTAATTAAGATAATATTTAGATGAAACCAGTTTATAATGTCATATTAGTAGTATACCTGCATCGGGCTTGTCTTTATAATGGGCATTAATATCTTATAGTTTTGTTCTTTGTTCTAATTCAAAGAGGGTTTTGTGTTGTAACTGCTATTTGATATTATTTTTATTAAGTAAATAAAGGTTTATTGTAGTAGTTCGTTCAAACTATAATCTAACTCTGGGGGAGCAAATCTTCGGTACACACTGACCGGTTACACCAAGGCCTCATAAAAAGCTGGCGTAAAGCCATTCTTCCGTTGATTATCACAGCTTTTCAGTGAGTGACGATACCCAAGGCCACCATTTAGAAGCTTAGTAAAAGATTGATGACGTCACAGTTATCCATACTAATATTATAAAAGTGAAAGTGTGTCTGTCCGTTGCCTCTCCCCACTTAAACCGCTTAACCGATTTAGATGAAATTCGGTACAGAGATTGTTCGAGTCCCGGGCAAGGACATAGGGTAGTTATTATTCCAAAAATCATCCTTTAAGTGGGTGAAAAGGGGAGTGCAAGTTTGTATGAGGAATCAATAACCGCTAAACCGATTCAGATCAAATTCGGTATGAAGATACTGTAACCCTTAATAAAAGATATATACTACTTTTTACCTCGATAACCGATATTTACGCAGGCGGAACGGCGGGAAAAAGCTAATTTACCATAAACGTCCACAGAATATACAGTTAAGACAGTAATTAACATAAGAAAAGAGTTATGACGTCACCATTTGTGCTTTTATCAAGCTTTCACAGAACTAATGACAGTGAACGACAGTATTGTCTCTATTTTAAAAGTCATTACATAGTTAATGAAGTTTGAACTCTTGGGCCTCCGAAATAGGTATACAAATTAAACATCTAGCTCATGCCTAAATTTACTGCTATTACTGCAGCTATTCGGGGTGAACACAGGCCTCTGCTGAACACTGCACTGCTGAACACAGGCCTCTCCTTAGAAAGGAGGTTTAGGTATCGAGTTAAAATTAGACCATATACTCAGGTTTAATACAATAAGGCTTAATGTTTAATTAACTCGTTAAAGAATAACTTTTAATAATTTTAATGTCTTATTCCTAGATTGGCCTATGATGATGATGATTCTGAGGTAGCATTCCTAAAAAAAAGAAAGAAGGAATTCTTATGGGCTCACTTTGGTGAATAAAGTTGTAATTGACAAACAATATTTGTGTGCGGTCCCTTAAAGCTGTAAAAAATCTGATAAGCCAAATATTTTGTGAATAACAACGATTATTTCTTCTGTATCTGGGTGTAATTTACATAGTATTATGTATATATTTAAAAATAAATATGTGAATCCCAAAATCGATCTAAGTGGAGTACAATGGGAGAGGCCTATGTCCAGCAGTGAACTGCGATAGGCTGATGATGATGATGTGTTTCAATGTATCAGTCAGTCAGTCGCTGATAAAGACGTGAGTATAAGGATGTATACGGAAAAGCCAACGTAGATAAATAAAAAACTTAGTAGATAAATAAAATACCTACAGGGGCGGTACTTCCCATTCACCAAGAATCATGAATTTTGCCCAGAAGCAAGGTTTTAGGTACAGCATAGGTAAGGGATCATCTATAAATTACGTCACATCGTAAGGGAGAGGTCACACGTCATTAACGAAGTGTGACATTTTGTGACAAGAGGTCGGTGGGGAGTCCTACATTTCGTGAGGTCACACTTAAAAATCTAATACTAATCTAAGTATTAAAACGCAAAATCTGAATTTAATAATAACAATATAATTTAGGTTCGTAAATATTTGATCTGATGGTGATTATGGTAAATATTTGGTTTGTTTTTGATCTTATTAAAGAATAATTTAAAAGTAAGTACATAAGTTATTTAAAAATGTATGCCTAGTTGTAAAATTGCAAAATATGTGTCGTCAATTTTGGCTCCAAAGATGGCAACTCTTAAGTCTCTTAATATCTTAGAAAAGGACATAGAGATGATAATGGTTGCAATGTGTGTGACCTAGTCCCTAAGTACTATACAGATTTGGCGATCGGATGGGTTGACAGCTCTATTTTTGTAGGTACCTTAAGTGTCCCAGCTCTAAGAGCACTGAAACAAAATGTCGTTTTATCGTGGGAGAGCCATGCCTCAGCTTAAATTGGCCTGCTCGACCGTGATACCACGGCCTCACAGAAAACCTGTGTTAAGCAGTTTTTCCCATTTCTTTGGGAGAGGGAGTCTCAAAGGGCAGCACCACACTTGTGACTATTGAGTTGCAGATGTTCTTAGGCAGCGATAGTCACTGCGCCATAAAAAAGTAAAATCTTCCCCGATCAGGCGTCTAGAGTTTCGAAATGCTCTAATATAGGACTCGGAGAGTAATTCCCAATATCCTAAAAGAGAAATAACCAATTTTGTTAAAGGAAATGCTGTACACTAGACTCCAAATAAAATTGGGGAAAGGCCTAAAATGTGATGAAGAATAATTAAATAAAAATAAATTATTGACAATGAGAAGAAAAAAAGTGAACTGTTTTGTCATTACCTATTTATACGTAGGTAATAACATAATAACTTTACACATCCCACATACGGCAGTCTGGTTCCAAACTAGGCAGAGCCTGTACTATGGTAACCAATCTGCTGATAAACATTACAGATAAATTACACCCAGACACAGAACAAATGATCGTGCTCATCACACAATATTTGTCCTGAGTGGGAATTCACTAACCACCAGATCAACAGGCCCGTAAATATATTTAGATGGATTGTAAATATTTCTAGAGATTTATTTAAATCAAACTAGCTGAGACCCGCGGTGTTACCCGCGTTTGTTGTTATAACCGCGGGCAACGCCGCGGGGCGAAGCTAGCCTAAAAAAAGTAGCCTAAGTTACTCCTTATGTCATCAGCTATCTGCCAATGAAAGTCTCGTCGAAATCGGTCCAGCCGTTCCAGAGATTACCCAGAGCAAACAGACAGACAGACAAAAAATGAGATATTTTTTGCATTTGCTCAGTATCAGGATGGCAACTTCATCTGTTGTTGGTGCGTTAAATGTGCGTTCGTGTGTTTCAGATTGTCTTTTATCCGCTCTGATCACGACTTTGTAGTCATCATTTGGCATGCATGATAAAAAAAAACAAAAAAAAAAACAACGGGATAAAAAGTATCCTATGTCCGTCTCCTGGTTTAAAGCTACCTCCCTACCAATTTTCAGCCAAATCGGTCCAGCCGTTCTTGGGTTATAAATAGTGTAACTAACACAACTTTCTTTTATATATATAGATAATTAAACTTATGTTTTTTTCTTTGGCAGGAGTAAACTGCGTGGTGTCTTCTACAGTTCGATACTGGCACGCTAGCTGGTGGGGAGCTCCGGTCCGGGAGCTGCACAGAACTCTGTGGGGTTCGCTCGCCGAGATACTAGCGTCAAACAACTTTCATTTCACTAAGTAAGTACTTACTTGGATCGTTTATTAAACTATTACTGTACTTGCGTTTTTTATTGCGTCTTAACTTTCTATAAGTAATGAAAAGTACTTAATGTAATGTTGTAGGATAAAATAAATCATTGAAAAACAATGCTATATATGTATATTAGCGCTCCACTACTGTGCACTTTTCAAGAAACTATTTGCCCCGCACAACCAATCTGAGTAACGGGTTGTCGTCTGCGGTATTTGTGGACCGATACGACCTTCAAACCTTCAGAGCGTACTCCTTCCTAACAGGCCGGCAACGTGTTTGTAACTCCTGAGCTTCAGACGTTCATGGGCGGCGATGGTCACTTTCCATCAGGTGACCCGTCTGCTCGTCTGCCCCCTCTAACATAAAAAAATATGTGATTATGTCACATATGTCACACATTATGTCACAATCAGTTTTCAAGTGCCTTCTGGTTTATAGGGCCTAGTGTGAGTTTGATCTCTAATGATGGATTACCTTTTCAATTCGGTTGTGTACCTATTCGTTTTTATATATTTGTTACGTCAAAACTCATTTATCAACCGGTTTCGACTTTGTTTTGTATTTCGGGCATAATATATCAAACGCTAGTTTATAATAAATATTTTAGTCTGCCTTAAGTTCGTTAAATAAATGTTGGGTGTCAATCTATCCGGCTAATAAAAAGTACTTGTACAAAACTGGATGTCTCGCCGACATTGTCTGGACTCTTATTAGCAATGACTCAAGTTGTCCGTACCAATTAGAGACGCAAATTATTAAAGCTAAATATAGAAGTTTCAGTATACCAAGATTCATTGACACTACAACAAGTCCGTGTAGTGTAGTTATTTTACATATTCCCTTTGTATTATAATAATATATTACATGTGATCAAAAGCTTAATAGTTCGGAAGTGGGCAAACACGGAGCTAGTCTTCAGGAAAGCACTTGAATGTAACTACATTGGGATCGGTGGTTCCAGCTTATATTTACATGACTCAAGTGGAGTATTTTTTGTGTAGACAGGACTCATGACAAACTCAAGTTCGATACAGACTATAAATCGTACGAATTAGACCCAGCCTAGGGTGAGTCATGTCTCCTATGACACCCCTTTTATTTCCGCACCTTAAACTATCCAAGCTGGTAATTTTTATCTGGGGTCGAAATCGGTACTTTTCTGTTGGTTTCTGATTAATATTATAAATACGAATGTCAGTTTATTTGTACCTTTTTACTTCTCAAACTATATTATGGCAATTAAACAAACACATTTAAAATTTATATGGTAAAGCATCATCGTTTAGTATTCTTCACAAAGAAATGTATTAGGATCATCTCTCTATAAGTATCGTAAAAAGCGTTAAAGAAAGTTTTAATTCAAATCACGTCTCTATAATCGAACGTAAAACGGAATGGTCTGGCCATTTACATTTATGTTCGGTAATAAATTATTACATTTATCATATTAATGTTGCATAATTTCTAAAACACCAACAATGGACGACAGCGACACCAAATGTTTAGTAATTTGTAGGCAACTTGTATTAATATTCAGTCAGCGTTCAATATCATTCGAAACTTTTCATTCAAATGGAAAAGTTAGGAAAATAAAACAGTATTATATGTTAACACTCAATTGGTATTCACTCAGATTTTAACATCATTCTATACTTTTCGAAAAGAAAGAAAAAAATAACGAATGACTGAACATTTTGATTTTTTAAATATTTATAAAATTGAAATGTATAAAAAATAAAATGAAGGGTTATTGTCATACTAAATTAATATCTGCTTACTTAATTAATATTTAGTACACATTAGAATAGTTGAGAAAACACTGCGAACGATTCTTTTACCAAAATGTTAATTTTTAACTGTGGCTTATACTGAATTAAATAAATCTGATTCTCTACTTTATACAACTAGGAAAAATGATGAGCACCTTGTAAAATATATATATTACGACAACTTAACAAAAGGAATTAAATTATAATCCTATTCATAATTTTTAAGGGAAAATTGTAAAATCCAGGTCAAACTGAACGCTTTTGTCTTTGATACTAAAGTTAGTAGTTAGTAAATCGGGTTACATGTAATCACTTTCCTTGTATTTCGTATGTTTCCAAAACACCATTTGGCAAAACTCGAATAATATGGATAAAATATAAAAGCTTAAACTAACTGAAACATATTAAAAACATGTGTCGCCCCCCTCCCCTCCTCTCATTGTGGGAGGGACGGGCACTCAATATGCGACACACTTGTTTCTCTCGGGGTGCAACTGCCTATTGACCAGTAATTGCTTTCTATCAGGTGACCCTTTTTTTTTTTTTTTTTTTTTTTTTTCCCGTGCGGAAATCCCCTCGGATACCACCTGTCGGTGGCATGTCGGACTCGAACCGACTAAAACTTCGCCGGGTACTAATAGCCGGGGAACCAGGTATACCCTAGAAAGGAAGGCCCTGGTGCCCCGACATACCTCGGGTCATCTACAGACGAGTAGACGACCCCCGCCCCGTGTGGGAACCCCATGTTCCCTGTGCTCCCTGGAAGCGAGCGCGCTTCGCAACGCGCTCGCCGCCGCCCCGGCCTGCTTCTGCTAGGGTGACAGATGGCCTCACCTGTCACCCCCAGGCCTGCGCTTATGGAGGACGTAGGTCGTTCTGCGACCTCCGGCGCCTGAGTCGCCTGCGCTGCCTGGCCCGTGCCCGGGCCTGGCGGGCCGGGAGAGTTCTAAACCTCTCCCGGTCCCGCTCCGCCGTCTCCTTCGCGAGCATAACTTGCTCGCAGAAGGAGACGGCAGAGTTCCACGCACTCTCGCTCCGCACGATAGCCGCAATCAGGCTATCGAGCGAGAGAACTCCCACTCCGATGGCCGCCACGAGGTCTCGCCTCTGCTCAACCCACGCCGGGCACTCTGCCAGCGTGTGGAGAGCCGTGTCCACGGTCTGGCCATCGCAGTGGTGGCACTCAGGCGTTGGCTCCTTGCGGATCAGACACAGGTGATCTCCGAAAGTCTGTTGGTTAGACCCCAATATGCCGTCTATAAAAGAAAAATGTTTAGCCAAAGCACTCTTTGCTCAATTTTTTTTTTTTGTAATTAGTATTCTACCACGTTACGTACCTACGTCACGGTACATAAGCATAATACAGGCAGGTTTTATGTTATACTGGGAAATTAAATAAACTTAAAATTATGGTTAAAATTGTAGTTACCAGCCGGACCTCTTTTTTTTTGTTGACGGGGTGGAAAATTCCTTCGGATCTCCTGCTCCTCAGTGACTCAGGAGCCAGGAGTGTGCGGTGATTCCTCTAAAACACCACCCTAACGGCCGGCCTCAGGTGTCCTATGGGAGGACCCAGACCATGTTATTTCAGGTCCTCCGCGAATTGACACCATGCCTAATCAGGCCCTATCCCAGGGGAAAACACTTCCCCCTCAATCGAGGTGTGGCGGCCCTATTGCATCTTAATGCGATCAGGCTGCCATTCGATTCCCTACCGCAGCAATCAATTTGCCACCAGAGGTCCCCGCACTCTGGTGGCCCGCGGCCCCGTCAACGGCTGGTATCGTCGCCGACGTCCTCTACGTTCGGGATCGGCTCTCCCTATCCCGTTCAGTGGTATCTTTCTGGAGCATTACAGCTTCACAGAAAGAGACCACTGCACCACGCGAACCTCTAGTGTTAATAAATAATTTAAAGGTATAAAAAATGAATATTTTAATTGGCAGTCGCATATATTTTTTTTGCATTTGTCAAAATCGTGCTAATTTTATACAAATTACAATGTCAAATATTGCTTACGAAAACTGTAAAGGTTATTTTAAAAGGCAAACGAATCTTTTGCTTATAAATTTTTATGATATTGTTTTTTATTTTTTACAAACTTAAACGTTGTTTTGGATCTCACCGCATAGCTTCAATATCCATGTAGAACAACTTATTAAACTTGTTTTCAGACATGGTTTTAGAGTTGCAAGGAACCCTTATCATGTCAGTCTCATCTTCACCTCAAAGACTACTGGAAAGCTGCAATTTTGATAGATAAATAGAAAACTCTTTATTTGTGCACCATTTTTACAAGTAAAAAGTTCCGGCCTTATGGCTAAGTGCAACCTCTTTCAGGCTACATCAGGATGGATCAGAGAGATGGAGAGACAGTAATAGTTAAAAGTGCATATGCATTTTATAAATGTAATTGCTAATGTATATAAAAAAAAATGTATAGGTGTATCTGCCATAAGAAGGAAAACTTAAAAGAAACCCAATATCAACCATTCTGGCCAGCGTAGTTATAGTAGGCCAAACCTTCCTTTCAAAGGAGAGGCCTATGTCCAGCAGTAGACCAAGGCTTTTCATGATGATGCAGAGATATATATATTATGTTTGTAAATCATTTTGACAGGTCTGTGCGTTCAGAAGATACAATTTGTCACCTCACACACCACATTATTTCTAGGAAATATTTTTTATTGTGATAATTTGAAGTTGTATGTTATTTTAAAAGGCTAAATCATAATAAAAAATATTTAGGGGTGGGTCACCCTTATCATTTAGGGATATGAAAAATAGATGTTGGCCGATTCTCAGACCTACCCGATATGCACACAAAATTTCATAAAAATCGCTCCAGCCGTTTCGGAGGAGTTAGGTAACAAACACCGCGACACGAGAATTTTATAAACTAGATAGTTTTTTTTTAGAGCCATAATGAGAAAAACTAACATTAAACCTCTCATAACTATTTATAACTTTATAACATCTATTATAACTCCACCAGAACTGTTCCTTTTAGGGGTCCGTTCCTTAAAAAAAGAAATGGACCGCCGACCCCAAATAAAATTTTGAAAAAGACAATAAGATAATAATGATTGGAATGTTTGTGACCTAGTCCCTAAGCACTTTACAGATTTGGCGATGGGATGAGTTGACTCACCAATTTTTGTAGGTACCTAAAGTATCCTAGCTCTCAGAGCACTGAAATATAATGCAAATACCCT